GTGTGTGTGTGTGTGTGTGTGTGTGTGTGTGTGTGCGTGTGCGCGTGCGCGTGCGTGCGCGCGTGCGTGTGTGCGTGTGCGTGCAACGGTGAACCGAAAGTGTGTACATGAGCGAGAGCGCTGTGTTTCCTGTATTTAAGTACGATTAAGAGAGGTTGTAACGAAAGCGTCAGTAAATCCAATCATCCGAACTAGAACCCGTCATTCTCGTCACGCGTACCACCCTACACGTGACAGTATTCTTCAAATCGGTGTATGTGTCACTAGCATGTACTGTGTTCATTGCAGGCGAAGTACGTACACCACATGGCGTTGCTGTCTTTTAGATACAGCACAACTTGGTCGGAACGTGTGCAAGAAAATATTTCTTGTTTTGTCTGTTGATACTAAACAAACACTGTGCAGACAGATGCGAGGCCAGGACCGCCCGATGCCGTGTGGTGTGTGGGCTGCCGAGCCAGATCTTTGCGATAACACCTGTCCCGCCGTGGGCGAGGCTCGGCGCCCGGCTGATTACAAGGTGTTGGGTGGACTGAACGCTGCTTTACATAATGTTCCCAATAAGCTGACAATGATTTAGAAATGCCTAAGAGCCTGTATGTCCGGCTAGATAAATCAGCGTCCCCCATTATAATGTATTAGCGAGTTGTAAATCTATTCCGGATCTAAAATTGATCTCCTCTTGGTGTACCTCCTTCCGTGAGATGGTCGCCTGATACCAGTGCCACCTCTAGTTGTGGTACTGCCAATCAGTTATGACGTATTTTGAACCAACGTTGTGACTTCTTCATGTGATGTCAAGCCAGCTGCATCCTAGAGTGTTTTTTTTTCTCGAGCTTCGGCTCTGGCGGAAGGGTCAGGTGCTTCTCCCATCAAGTCAAGTGGTCCCATAACGCGAAGTTCGTTCACTTCTCTATAGGACTACCGGAACTTTATGATTATTGTATACAATTTGTTTATGGGACTACTGCAGGTTATTTCTGGTGCAGCCGATCACAGTAGCCGCGTGGTCTGAGGCAGATACTGTCTTCGCTCTCTCGAACGCTGGGATCGTGGGTTCGATTCCCACTCAAGACATTATGTCCGCGTAGGTTTATTCTGTGTTTGTGTTCTGTGTGTAGGTAGCGACCTTACGACGGGCTGATCCCCCGTGCAGGGAGTCCTGCCGAATGTATAGATTAGGGAACTGAAAAACGGCCAAGGTCCAACATAAGGACTGTAGAGCCATAGATAGATTTCTGGCGCTGGTGCTGTGTACTGAGAAATGAAAATTATATGAACTGTGAACTTTATATTTGTGCCATTCATCTCAGAGTAGCCATAAAATAGTTAAGATGAAGTTGTTAGAATTGAAGTTCTTGCAGCTGTGCTTATGGCGATATCACGCCGTGTATCCCTGTGAACGTCAACCAGTCGGACTACACGGCATAACACCGCAGAGGGCATAACTCTTCTTGAGGTCAAGTAGTCCCTGTCGTTAATGAAGCACAATTTTATGAAGACATGAGGGAGCAAATGGAGATACTGGTCACATTCAGACCCTGGTCTCTCTACCCTTAACACCCACTGCAGAGGAGACTCGATGGGCCCCAGTGCCTATCTGGGCACTGTGCAGTACACATATACGTGTATCTCTGTCCCCTGCCGGGAATCGAACTAAGATTTTTCGGTTATCAAATCCATAGTCTAGTTATTGTACCGATTAACCTACCCCTGTTCCTGTAGTTGGCCCGTAGGCCTAATAGTGATTATTAACTTACGTACCCACCCACCACTCAGCACTACAGCCCTGGGCGAGCCTTGGCCTCCTCTACAACCAGTCTCCTCTGCTCTCTATTCCTCATCTTCATCTTCTTCAGGTCGTTCTCAACATTGTCTGGCCATCTCATCCTGGGTTTTCCTTTTCTTCTTTTGGAATATAGCCTTCCTTCTAACGTTCTCTTTGGCATTGCATTATCTTCCATTCTTTCGGCATGTCTCAACCGTCTTATTCTCTGTGACTTGATTAATCTTACTATATCTTCTGCTTACAGTAATGTGTTTATCTCTTCATTGTATCGTATCCTCCATATATTATTTTCTCTCACTGGTCCTTATATCTTGCGTATTATTTTTCTCTCGAACATTGTCAGTGCATTCTCTTCTGTTACTGTTAGGGTCCCTGTTTCTGCTCTGTATGAAATAAAGAATGTATGTGGGGTAAAATATTTTTGGGGGCCGGTCACGGTAGCCGAGCGGACTAAGGCATGCACTGTCTTCTCTCGCTCGGAAGCCGGGATCGTAGGTTCGAATCCCACTCAGGGCAGGGATGTTTGTGTGCGTTTTTCTGTGTTTGCCTACAGGTAGAGGCCTTGCGACGAGCTGATCACCCGCCCAAGGAGTCCTACCGAATGTGTAAGATCTAGAAAAACCGAAGTGAACGGAGAAGTTCATGGAGGTAGGCCTAGGCCCACTGGGGCTGTAGTGCTAAGGGAAAAAAAATTTTTTGGAAAATGTTCATGAATGGTGAGTGGTTAAGTACTTTGAAGGTGACTGCGACCTATTTGATTATAATATACCAGATATTTTCGATCGAGGCTGAGGAAAATAGAAAAAGAAAACAGGAAAGCTATGTACTTACTTTAAAGGATTAAGGGTCAGTCGTAAGTGGAAAGACGTCACTTCATTGGTGGCACCGAAGCAGACCTAACCTGGACGTGGTCTTGTAGAGTTTGACAGAGGTGTGTTGTGAAAGCCATAGCCGGTTCTTCCTTTTTTGTTGTATCACTTTTCTTTTTTTAGTTCCTCAGCATCACGTCTGGTTCAGATTATACCTAACTGCCTAACTAACTAATATCTTAATGTGCCTCAGTTGGGTTAATGGCGCGGTACAGTTCTGGCCATGATTTCATTTAACGATGTTGTGATTGCAGTGTTGCATAACAAATTGAATTCTATTAAACAGAAAGATGACAAGACTGTTGAAGAGCGGTTCTCTGAGGGTTCGTGACAGTGGTCGGCATATTACGCAACATTATAATGTCCAGTGTCCATATCTGATTGCTATGTATTTGACGAGCAATTCAGCTGGATTGGTTACATTTATGATTTGCATTCAGAAGCTGTCCGGTTTGAAACTCGGCTACGATGTAGGCCTATTGACTGAAGTTTTTCGTGTTTTTGTGGTTCTCTTAGTCCCTGCAGACATATGCTGTGTTAATACCCTCAAATTAGGCCATGACCGCGTCGCTCCACCTCCTTTCGAAATAATTATTTGCTGATCTTCCGGCGCTTTAGGGCCCTAGCCACTGAGAGGGTCGTTAAATAAGCATAGCCTAATTACGACACGGCCGGTCACGGTAGCCGAGCGGTCTAAGGCATGCACTGTCTTCGCTCACTCGGAAGCCGAGATCGTGGGTTCGAATCCCACTCAGGGCATGGATGTTTGTGTGCGTTTTTCTGTGTTTGTTTATAGGTAGGGGCCTTGCGACGAGCTGATCACTCGCCCAAGGAGTCCTACCGTATGTGTAAGATCTAGAAAAACCGAAGTGAACGGAGAAGTTCATGGAGGTAGGCCTAGGCCCACTGGGGCTGTAGTGCCAGGGGGAAAAAAAAACATTACGACACGAAACGACACGGTGGTGTGATTAACACTCGGTGTTGTATTCGGCAGTTCCGTGCTTCAAATCTAGGCCTGAAGACTGGCCATCCTGACGCAGAATTTTCGTAATTTTCTTCAGTTTCTCCATATAAATGCCGGGTTAATATCTTAAAATTGACCACGAGCGTTTTTTTTTCATTTAATTGCTCAGTAATCATCCTGTCATTCGATGCTGTAATTGTAACAATTGAAAGTATCTTTTAAATAAATCGAAAGTGAAGAAGAAGACAAATAGATTGTGCTACGTTGCGAAAGCGGGCTGGTCTTTGTTATCATTGTACGTACCGTACTGAAAGATTTGTTGCTCCATCCTGACACCATTAACAGCTCGAGAACACTTGCGTTTCATTTATTCACATCTTAACATTTATTGGTTACTTCGTCGTGTAGTGCGTATGGTTTCTGAGAGAACCGGAGATCCCCCGAGGTTCACAGAATTTAACAAATAACTGAAGGAGAGGCATGCGAGTGTAGAACGAAGGGACATTTACTATTTACTATACTGAGGCCACGGAAATAAGTCCCGCGTATTAACTTCCACCCACCCCTCCCACAGTTACCTTCCCCACTACAGCGTACTTCCCTGTATTCTCCTGCAGTCGTCTAGCCATTCGCTTCATAGGAACATTGGCAGTGATAACCTTCTGTTATTGGCTTCTGTAGATTTCTCGTTTCACTTACTCTTCGATCCTCAAGATGGAGGCGATATATCCCTACGAAACGTTGGTTTACTTTCACTGAACTACATACTGTTAATTCCAGAAGATAGTCTCACCTCTGTAAAGATAAAGTTGTCCCTGTGCTTAACTAATGAAGCACTACGCCATGAAGACGTATGGGGAATGGATGTATAGATTCATATTTTCTTGACCTCGACACTAGTTGGAGGAGAGTGGTCAGCTTCACACTCCGACCGCGTTACCCCCAGGGGGGTTACCCATTGGATAGGAGGCTAGGTGGGCCCCAGAGCCGGTCTGGACTGCGTTGAGAAGGGAAAATTCTTGCCCCTACCAGGACTCCAACTCCGACCCCTCAGTCCAGTCCATAGCTAGCGCTATGCCGGCTCCCTAGTCGCCTCCGAGGGGGCCTCAGATCCAGCGTAACCCGATCTTATGTTTATATTAATAGCGACAGTCGGGATCAAGCCGAATACCAGACTGGTGCGCTAGCAAGCAGATCAGCGAGACGGTCCGGTAGTGGCTGCCGTTATAATTTGGGGTACTTCCTAAAGAAAACCCATGCAACCAATGTCTAGGCTTGTATGGGCGACAGTGTGTTTCGTTGGTCCGATGAATGCAGATTGTCTGTCGCAGTGTTCTACAGATCCTTCCGCCTTCGTTCTGGATGATCTCTGCTTTGTCCCGTTGTGTTTTGTGGTTGTTGTCTCGGAAATGTTCTGTTTTCAAATGTTACCGCACTTTCTTTGTGTCTTTTGCTAAACCACGAACCGCATTTATTTTAAACCCCCCTGGAATTTATTATGCTTGTGTGCATAATTGCCTTTGATGTACGAAATAATTATATTGACGTGTCTACATGCTCACAGTCGCCACGAAGCGCGCTTCGTCGCCATGTTCGTTTGTTCCCGTCTCTTGGCAACACCAACTTGGCGACATACATTCCATGGCCATTTGCTTCATTTGAGGTACTGAAAGTTTGTGTTTTGGGGGCACGCGGTAGCGTAGTTGGTCGAGGCACTATGCTACAAGCCGGAAGATCGCGGGTTAGAGTCCCGATAAGGTGTTTTTTTTTTCAGTTTACCTATACCTAATCCTTCCAGTCGCACTATGGCCCTGAGGTCTACTCAGCCTATAACAGAAATGAGTACCAGGAATCTTCCTGGGGGTAAAGGGCTGCCGGCGCGTAAGGCTGACAACCTTGTCGCCATCTGTGAGCCGATTGTCTAGAAAATGTGACACCTGAACATCTCACAACCCTACGGGCCTGCATGGCCTCTTACAGGGATAGTTTTGCCTCGTATTTTTTTTACCTTTTTTACTGAAAATTTGTGTTCTGTCTTAGGAAAGTACAAAACTTTATAAAGTTAGATTGTTTAGAAACTGAAAAAAGTGTAGTTGCCATCGATGGAATGATCTGTTTTTAGGATTTATGATAACAGCTAATTAATTTCGAGGTGTGTACAGTGAAATTTGTATGGTGAGAAGTTGTAAATGTAGCCTGTTTACAAAAGTTGTATGAAATACATTAGGTCTGTGTGTGGATCTCCTTTAAAACGCACTGACATTTTAAGTTAAATTAAATCACTTTGAGTCGTAGTTTACATGAGCTTAATTAACTGATTTCATAAAGCTGAGTCCTTCTAGGAAGCCTCCAATTGTACACCTACTCAAGACCTTCACAGCATTTTATGGAACCCGGTGGTTCATTACCCTGTTCACAGGAGCCCTCCACTGGTCCCTATCCTCAGCCAGATCAGTTCAGTCCATACGACCCCATTCTATCTCTGTAAAATCCATTTTAATATTTTCCACCCACTTACGTCCTGGTCTTCCTAGTGTTCTGTTTCTTTCTGGGTTTCCCACAAATACCCTATATGCATTCCTCTTCACCATTCGTGGTACATGCCCTGCCCATCTCATCCTGCTTGACTTGATCATGCTAATTATACTTGGCGAAGAGTACAAGTTATGAAGCTCCTCATTATGCAGTTTACATGAGATTAATTTCTGTTCAGATGTAGGTAACTAATAAGTACCGATATATGTTTGTTTAAATATTTTATTTTGAAGCATTTAAAGGAAAGTCTCTGTGAGGGTATTGCTTTCTTTCTATGCACGTATGGAATCACTTGCGAATTAAAAATCCAGATAGAGGAAGTTCCTGTAATCCTAAGAGATTTGAGGTGTTGCGGTAATGAAGACTCATTGTATTCCTTTGGGTTGTGGCGCCTTGTAGTCTGACGTTTGAATACCAATGTTTCAGTGGAACATAGTGCCTCAATTTGGACGGCAGTGTGTTCCTCCGAAACGTCGGTACCCATCTACCATACTGGATGGTGTCATTTCCCAGAATACTTACATCCGATTACTAGATGTTATCCCACCGTTTTGTTGGAATGTCGTGTAAAATTACAAGATAGAAACATTGATTACGACAATTGCTTGTGAGGTTAAAGTCTGAACCCTGTCCGAAGTACTCGTAGGCATGGACAACACTAAGAACTGTCGACCCCTATTTCCCAACAAAACACGTGATCAGTGAAAAGTTGTGACCTCTTTCCTAAGTGCTTTCCGCTACACGTACACAGCAAGAAATCTGAAACGAGATGGACGTGTTAAACAGAATAAGAAAGAAGTTAACATAATTCCAGCCATCATTGCATCCTTCCTGGGGTTTATTTACCGCCGCTTGAGAGAGGAAGGTAAATTATTTTTATGTGAAAATACTTTTCATATTACTATTTAATAAGGATGTCAATGGATGTCGGAGACATTTCTGTTGATATAAACTTTTTATATGTTCAAGGTTTTTAATTAGTCTGTAACCAAATCTGATGACAGACCTGGCTGATTATCCATCTCTGTCCCACAGCATAACCTCCAGTCCTCTCTTGAACGCAAATACAGGCTATCCATATGTCTCTTAAACGAAGTCTAAACATGACCAGTATACGAGTATATGGTCGTGCGCAAAAGTGTTTTCAGTTTGCAGTGAGGTTTAAAATGAGACTGAATCACGTTTCATTCCTTCAGAATTTGAGGAAGCTTAGCCTACAGTTTTATTTGTATGAATACAATGCAAATTGCTTTATTTTTAGACGATTATTTAAAAGCGCTGTAATTATATCGACTTTATAGCCTCGGCTGATATGATGATCGATGAACTGAGAAGGATGAAAGCGGCCGTGACCTAATCGAAGTAGTAGCCTTGCATTTGTCTGGAGGAACTGAAGAAAACCTCAGTCACGATAGCCGGTGTCCCGGCCCAAATTGGAACGGAACACCTCCCTAATACAAATTTAGAGCGTTATCGCTAGACCAGCTCATTTGGCCAAATTGTTTTATTTGTGAGCAGGTGGCGTGAATTTCAAGAGAAGTAGTTAAGTCATTGGAATAGTTTTCCAAGATCCACTTTATTTTGTCAGTGCAAACGTGGAAAAGGTCTGTATTCTTTTATTTTAAGTGTTGCCCCGCAAAATTATTTATCACATAAATTTGTCCTTCTATATTCCGATTGTTGTATAGATGTTGACACCGTGTTGTCTTGGAGGTAGATAATTCATATCGTAATACGAAATATTCATTCATTCATCAGTAATCTGTCAGACGACAGGTCCACAGTCTCTTCCAAAACAATTCCTCCACTTAATGCGATCTAGAGCTTTCTCCTTCAAATAAAAATATCCTCTTCTGTCCCCAAGGTCATCCAGCATCTTCTTACGTCTTCTTCCTCGCCTTCTGGTCACTTCTATCTGCCCCTCCGGTTTGATTTGTCTCCAGAGGAAACATCTCGCATACATGGTATCTCTGTTTTTGAAAAGAGACTACCCAGGAAAAGTGATAATGTGGTAGTTTTTCCATTTGCTTTCCACATCGCAGTACAACAGCCGTTCAAACCACTCTGGTTACGCCTGCTGCTATACGAACTTGAACCATCTCGAGCATCATTTGCCCTGTGCTTCAAGTCGCTGCTGATGACGCTGCTTCCGGCAGTATATTAACATGTAAATTTGGCTGATGAATTAATGTATACGATGAATGTAGAAGATAAAGATAAGGTACAGCTATCCATGTAACATGCGGTGGCGGCCGTTAGGGTTGTGAGACGTCGAGGTTCGCACATTTTCTAAACAGTTGGTTCACAAATGGCGTGAACCTCTGATTCGTTGGAAGGTGGCAAGCAAGGTCAAACTGTACATACAGGCGTCGCCCAGCCTTGTAAGTACCGACATAAATACTAGCGCCCCCAAGGAAGAGGACATCCCCTGTTCCGAAGTCCTTCGGTATACAGAATGTTCCAGGAAGAAAGGTCGATATTCTGGGAGGCCATTGAACACAAAAATGTGTATATGTGCATGTGTCCTATTCCGAACGGTTTACGAGATAGAGCTGTTTCGCCGTACAGTTCCAAAACTGTTATTAAGAAAAAGATTACCCGCTGAATCTGATACCGGTATTTACTGTTCAAGTGACAAAGTTGGCACAGTTGACCCAGTATAATGCATTTTCGAAAATTCCACCGGCAACAGCAGTGCAGTTCGCAACTCTTGTGAGGACATGGCGTGCTGCTCGTCTGCACAGTGTACAGTGTACTGTACAGTGAACTAGCTCCATCTCGGTGCAACTCGTGTGAGGACATGGCGTGTTGCTCGTCTGCACAGTGTACAGTGCACAGTGTACTGTGCAGTGAAATAGCTCTATCTCGGTGCAACTCGTGTGAGGACATGGCGTGTTGCTCGTCTGCACAGTGTACAGTGTACTGTACAGTGAAATAGCCCTCTCTCGGTGCAACTCGTGTGAGGACATGGCGTGTTGCTCGTCTGCACAGTGTACAGTGCACAGTGTACTGTGCAGTGAAATAGCTCTATCTCGGTGCAACTCATGTGAGGACATGGCGTGTTGCTCGTCTGCACAGTGTACAGTGTACTGTGCAGTGAAATAGCTCTTGTGAGGACATGGCGTGTTGCTCGTCTGCTCAGTGTACAGTGTACTGTATAGTGAAATAGCTCTATCTCGGTGCAACTCGTGTGAGGACACGGCGTGCTGCTCGTCTGCACAGTCTACAGTGTACTGTGCAGTGAAATAGCTCTATCTCGGTGCAACTCATGTGAGGACATGGCGTGTTGCTCGTCTGTGCAGTGTACAGTGTACAGTACAGTGAAATACGTAATCTCGGTGCAACTCGTGTTAGGACATGGCGTGTTGCTCATCTGTACAGTGTACTGTACAGTGAAATACCTCTGTCTCTGAAACCGTTCTGGATAGCACACATGTACGTATATATATATATATATATATATATATATATATATATGCACGTTTTTGCTCAGAATAACCGATATTATGACCTCCCAGAATATTGACATTTCCTCCTTGGACCACCTGTATGTACAGTTACAGTAGGTGCCGATTTCTGTCCTATTAGCGTGCTTGTTATGTCGTTGTCAGGCCATAGTAGTTATATAGGTGGCAGCTCTGTATACGAAACTGAAGAAGATGTATTTTGGTGGAGAAAGGAGGGAACTAGATAAATATATGAAATGGTAAGGCTATCCCTGCAACAGACCGTGAAGACCATAGGGTTGTGAGACGTCGAGGCTCCCACATTTTCTGAGACAATCGGCTCACAGATGGCGGTAAGGTCAGCCTTACGCACCAGCCGCCACTTACCGCCCATGAAGATTCTTGGTACTCATTTTTGTTAGAGGCTAAGTCGACCCCAGGGCCAAAGTGCGGCGGGAAAGATTAAGTAAATTGAAAAATTCACCTCATCGGGACTCGAACCCGCCACATTCTGGCTTGTAGGAATAGTGCCTCAGCCAACTACGCTAACCCGTGCCCCCAGATGTATGAAATGGAAAAAGGAAAAGAAGAAAGGGCGTAAGGAATAAAAATACGAAAGAAATGACTCCCTGTTGAATTTCAGATGGCCTTTCAGCTAGTAAAATAAAATCATGATGTGTCCAACTGTCCCTGTTTCATTACAGCATCACGTGACCTTCAATTAGGATTGCCAGCTGCAATTGGAAGTGTGCGTGTGCCAACTGTACAGGGACTCTCACTGGCCGCATGCACTATACGTATGTAAGGCCAGCACGCAGCTTGCGACGCGACCTTTCTAAGTGTTGCACGACGCGCTGGTGTTCCTCGGTGCTGGAGCAAATAAACCGATTACACAGAGATAACATCTGTTGACTGACTGAGTGACTAGTCCAGCCAAGGTTTCTTCTCCCTTCCCCCGCTTCTTCCCTTCCAGCCAAACTCTTTTTTTATATTCTTTGTTTTTTTTAACTTCGTCCAAGTTTTCTTTCATTTGTTTCTTTTATACGAGTATGTTGTCTAATTTCTGTATCCTCTTCCATTCTTTCATTTAGTGTATGTGTTTTGTTTTGCGGCGCTACCTGGTTGCATCTAATTTTGTATCACCTCCCTTTCTCTGTACCATATTCTCCACACAATAGTTTACACGGTTTGTACAATCAATTTCCTGTATAGACCTATCCCTATGCCCCAATTCTAGCTTGGGCCGCTTACGTCTATGCCTTGTATGTGTTATATTCGAAATGAAGTTATATTCTTACTGAGGATCGCGATCGAGTGATAAGCGCGTAAATATATGCATCGTCTTCGGAAGGTCCGGATCGGCCATGCTGGCTGACGTTTCTCGTGTTTTTCGCAAGTCCCTCCAGTCGCATGCCAGGGTAATACCTGTACCGCTTCGTTCCATTTCCTTTCCAATTCATTATTCACTAATCATCCCATTATTTCACTCTGTATACTCTTCGGTACTGAAAGAGTTAAATAAACGAAAACGTGCACAATATGGACACGTTTTCTGTCTCTCGCCCTGTCTAGATCTCGCAAATGGCCCGACTAAAAATGCTGTAAGAATTTGTAATATTTTATGTTTTCACGGCGGTGACTATGAATAATGCCGTCTTCTGGGATGTGGCTACAGTCTTCAGCCACCTGCCCAACCCTGGTTCCTCGCTCGCGTATTTTTCTACCCTGAAGATGGAGGCGATACGTTCCTCCGAAACTTCGGTTCACACAAGATCTACACGGCGCCACATCCCAGAAGACGGCATTCTTTCTGTAAGAATTTCTATTTTCAAGTGTACAATATGTCCCGCTTATCTCGCTTTCTTGATTTGATCGCCCTGTTCATGCCTGATGAAGGGTACTTATTGTGAAACTCCTAAATATATAATTTTCCCTCCTGCTCTTGCTTTCTCTCTTTTTTTTGTGTGTTCAAACCTGCCTCTTCAGCGTCCTACCCTCAAACACATTCACTCTCCTTGAGAGGGAAAGACAAAGAATCATAACCATAGACCTGTAAAAGAGCTGGTAAAATTATAATTTTGTAAATTTTAAATCTTTGCGTTCTGTTGCTGTTTTTACTAAAGCATTCTGTTGTTTATTACTCTCAGTGTTTGTATTCATGTACTCTCTCTGTGTCTATTTGCAAATGTACGTTTCCACCAATATGTGTTTCGACCTATAAGACGCAGTTCTCACGTTTGTATGTTCGTGCCACCTAGAATGCGTGTGATGTATATATGATCACCCACCTGAGCAAAATCTCTTTTATATGTCTGGAAGTGTAGTGGTAACAACACGCTTCTCAAAGGTTTGTAGGCGAGTTCATGGATGTGACCTGTTTGTTATCTTCCTGTCTGTATACCCATTACTCGACCTGTAT